GGTTTCATTTGCTTTTCTCTTATCAGATATGTTATGAATTTTTTAAAAAAAAAAAAAAAAAGAAAAAAAAAAAAAAAAAAAAAAAAAAAAAAAAAAAAGAATTAGCAATTAATTCATCATAAACTCTGACATGCGACTCTCCTTTGGGAACGTGCTTCTTTTCAGAATCTCCTTCTACAGTGGCGTTTCTCCTCGTTGGCATCAAAGCTAATTGTATTGTGGAGTTTCCTTTTTGCACTAATTCATCTTTAATAGCATCATTTCCGTATACAGCAGAATCTGCATCACTTGGGACGTCGTCAGAATTCACAAGCAGGTAATCATTGCCACTTGCTTTGATTTTAGATGAAGTATCCAGTTTCATCACATTCTGTACTGTAACAGGAACTATACTAACAGGATCAGTTTCTGGTTTTGGAAGTAAAAAACCATAATTCACAACTTTTTCGGACCCTTCTGCTTCTTCAGAACCACTTCGATTGCAATGAGCGTTTTTCTGCTGTTCAGAATCATTCTCAGATTTATTGTTTTCTGCGATAACACAAATCTTTGATCGAAATTATGAACTATCAGTTTCTAATTCACCTTCAAATCTTCCTATAGGCTTAATTTTCTTATTACCAAACCCCGTTAACTGTAGATCTGCCGACTTACGTTCGGGAGAACCTATCTTCTTATGTATATCTTCTCGAATTATCGTTACTTCACTATCAGTATCTACTAAATCATCGATTTCTAAATTACCTAAGTTAACAGTTTTATGCATTTCTTTCTGATAAGTCTGAGTAATTGGAATTACAGTTTTGGCATCTTGGATATTTTTAGGAGATGTTTTGGAACAATCTGCGGCTTTGCGTCCAAGTAATAAATCGCATTTAAAGCACTTAAATCCTTTATTCTTATTGTTACATGAGTTAGATTTATGACCTATACTTCCACAGTTATAACACCTTGGTTCTTTACTGTTATTAGTCCCGCGCGTGCTATTTTTGTGCTATCCTTGAATAACTTATTCTTCGTCCCTCAACGTAAATTTTCTTATTTTTTTTATTCTCTTTAATTCAAAATAGTTTACACCATACAAAATACTTGTTGCTATCTGATCGGGTTATCCCATTTATTACATCAGAGCGTGAATCATAAACGGAACCGCGACTGTTGTTTACCGCATCCTGAAATAATCGGAAGTGATTCACCAGGTTTTAAGTGTCGTGTCTGAACAATTGAGTTTTGCTGTTTATTTTAGAACCGAATTCAGATAAAAGATTTCCTTTCTAATTTGTCCCATGACACTATACCTTTCAAAGACCGAATAAATACTTTAGCAGAACCAGTAAGCAATTTTTTTTTGCAAAAACAATCTTTTCTAAATCAGATAACTTAAAAAATTTAAAAGATTCTTCTAAATCGCCAATGAAGGACTCGACAGAATATGTATCAGTACCGTTAAATTCAGAAACAGTTTCTAAAATGTAATGTAATATTACTAGGCGTCATAATGGTTTGATCTACTGAGTTATCTATGTGAAGTGATTCTGACCGAACAGAATTTATAACATCATTTTTATCAGAATCGTAAACACTTTCGTTTTCAGATAACTCATCATCGTCGTCACTTTCGGATTTTAGAAGCTTAAAATCACAAAGAGTATTCATTATTAAATTACAGTTTTTATCAGGGCTTGACTCATAATTAAGATGTAATAAATTACACAAAGAAATAAAATCGTTTGCAGTGAAAGCTTGAAGTAATGTTTTTTTTGTTTCTTTGATATTCAAATCAGATGGAAAACCACAAAAGTTACGTATTCTCCCTCTATTTTTTCTATCACTTAAAGTTCCAAACACAATTTGATGTAAGAGTTTAATGGATTTTGTACGCTCAGTTCTTAAAGAATTATAAATTCTAGGTATCGAATTTAAAATAGCCATCTTGATTCAAAGTACAGTAGAACACTATTCTTAGAAGTAACAATGTGAAAATAATCGAAACAAACTTACTCGTTTCTCTTGTAATATTCGTCATGATTCTTCCTAGGCTCATCGCGGCCTGAGCGCCCAAATCTGTAGGATCGGTACATCGTTTGTGTCTTGTAGCTTGAATTCTTTTTAAATAAATTTGTTGTTAGTTTCTTGTTATTGGTAGCATTTTGTTCCTCTTGATTTGTAACAAACAATTACTGTTACATATTATTTTATTTCTGATGCAGTTCGCAATGCACTCAAAAGTGTGTTAACAGAAAACTCAGTAGCTGAAATATATAACACATAGCCTAAGAATTTCTTTTAGTAATTTTACTAGTTGCGTAAATGGATAATAAAATGCAGAAATTTCTCAATATGCGAACATTCTGCTTGAAAATAGATATGAAAGCATTGCATAGGAGCACCAGTAAAGCAGCAGTAAATATACTGTAAATAGTAATGTTGCTATTGGAAAACAGAAAGTTATTAATTTCTTGGATGGATTTAAATTACTCATCTTTTATATTGATAAGCAATATGCTACTATAAACAGGTAAAATAAATGAAAGATGTTAAAGTGGAGGACTTAAAGCATCTTTCTGCGTTGTTCTCCTAAACCCGATTTCCTTCTCAAAATGGAAGTAGTAATATTTCTTTAATTTACCGATGTTTATTCATATCGATAATAACAGTGTAAAATGATAAGTATAAATAAATTCAGTCATTTACAGTGTAGAAAAATATAATTCCCCATAATATATTGCTAAACAAACCACATAACATTGTCATAAAATGTATGATAACAGCAAAGAAGCACAATGATACCAATTAACTAATAGAGAAATCTAAAAAATAAACAAAAATGTGTTCAGCAATTTCCCCCCTTTAACTGTATTCATCTGTCATTTCTATAAATAAATTTTCCACTACTTTAACAACGTAATAAAATCTGTCCAATTTTATTCCAGATTTGCAAGTATTTTAGAATCTCAAGCCTTTTGTCAACTAGAAATAATTACAGTGCTTTAAAATCACGCACTCAACAACCTTGAATCAACAATGAGATATTTTTACAACAGCTATTATCCACTTAAGGTTTCCTCAACTCAAATTAAGATGATTTAGTATCACCATGGTCGAAGAGTAAAAATTGCAACCGAAGCATTAATGTGCCAGGTGATATTTATCAAAACGAGCAAATCGATCTCTTATGTTTCGAATTCTCATTACTGCCCACTCATTCGATTTTATTTCCTCTATCCTATGCCTATTTCGCTCTCCGAAATCAATTACTTAAGGAAAGAGCACCCACCACAAGCGGAGAAGTCAACAGGTCAAGGTTCAATAAGGTCTTGGTGATCATCTGATGGAATTCAGTTATTGTGCACATACATTAGAAGATACGGAAATGTTACATATATATACGTACATCTGGTAATTAGGCAAAATGGAGAGCGTGGCTGCATGATGGATCTTCATAAATGCTGTCAATTTTTTTAATATTCTAGTTAATTCTGCACAGTTTCAAGTTGTAATGCAACTTTCAAAAACAGCAGGTTTTCTGCTTTGAAGTCATGCAGCCATCTGGTTTCAGAAAAAGATAAACTGATATGCAGAATATATTTGTAGGAAAGTTCCTGTGAGGGTTTTCGTATTCAATTCGAAACTAAAGAATTCTTTCATAATGCATATATATGCTTGTGTAATACCGCACTCATGTAATGTCTCATGCAGAGTCTGTGTGGGATAAACGCTTGATCCATTCCTCATCGTTGGCGCACTGCCAGCGGCTAGTTTGGAGTCTTATTCTTTAGAGTATTGAAAAAGGCAGTGAAACTAACAGATAATTAGAACGATGGTCTCAAATTGGCGGCCCGCGGTCCGCATAGCAGTGTCATTCAGCCAGTGACAGCATTTCAATTATGCATTTGTTATATCTATGGTGTTGCAAAGATTTCAAGATTTTTGTTAGTTGAAGTCCGAATTTATATTATTTTCATTTTCATTAAAACGAGTATGAAAAATGTGTTATAAAATCTATGAATGAAAAATTTAAGGATACAGGTTTAATTTTACTCGTTACTTATCAAAAAATTAATAAAGTATGTTACGAATTTTTGCACTAAAAATAATCGAGGTTTTCAAGGTTTTTTTTTCCAAGGTTGAAAGTTAATAAGAAGTGAACTCGATCGACCGATAAAAGTCTAGATGAAGATAAATTTTAGAAATTTCTCTTAGTTGTAAACTTTACATTTATCGAAACGTCATAAAATGTCAAGCTATTGAAACAAATATAAGATTATAATTATTTACATACAAATATATGTATTTATATTTGTGGGTCGAAGCAAATTTAATAAGAGACAGAGACTAAGTTGTCATTATTTATTCTGAAGTTTTGTCGCACTTTCTAAATCTTCTCGGAAAACATAGAAAGTTTCGTAAATTTATTAATTTTAGTTTAAATGAAAGAAATTATTTAATGAGTCTTTAAATGTGTTAGGATTATTTAAAAGAAATGCCAGTTTAAGAATTTAATGTTTAGCTGTCATATTTGAATTGCAAAGTGTAACCAATAAAAATGTCTTTCAGGAACCACACTTTAGATTTCAGGTAGAAATAACTATAAAATTTGAATTTTTGTTCTTTTGCGTTATTATTATTATTGCTTATGTAAGTTTTGATAAGTATTTACTAAGCGAAATTTAAAATTTGTTTTAAATATTATTATTTTGTTAATGAAATCTTTCATTTTGTTACAAAAAAATTCTGGCCTCTCAGCTGTTTTTAGATAGTGCATTATACTCGCATCCAATTTGAGTTTAAGATCACTGCATTAGAGGGTAAATGATCGCAAATCAAGGATTTAATTTGAGCATCTGGCAGATATTATGTGTTAATGCGTATTTGTGACGACATAGAAAGTAGAATCTTTTTTGGTAATGTAGAAGTTTTGATAAAAAAAAAGTTATGGAATGAATATATCTTCTGCTTGTTTTGAAGGAAAAAAGTTGCATAGTTACGGAAAAAGCAAATTTGAATATTATAGTTTTTTATTATTTCCAATGGCTAGGCAAAAAGTTACAAAGGTCTAAATTCTTATAAATAGAGGTTACAAACAGCAGAACTAAGAACAAAAAGATTTAGTCATTGCATAAAGAGCATTCTTGCCTCCCAGTATCTCCACTCTTCTGTAAGACCACAAAGAGCTCCACATGTGATGAGTGGTACCTTGTCCATTTCTTCTCCAGAATCACAAACTGGGCAAATAGGATCGTTTGAAATGCCTATACGGTGCGAGCGCAAGGCAATCATATCCTGTAGACAGACGGAAAGCCTCACCTGCATTGCGTCTTGAACTATCGGGTATAAGAGACCAACTTTTTAAGGCTGTACGAGTATGAAAATCTCATAAGATATTAGATGTAAATAACTTTTTTAAAAACACTTTAATCCTTCAATAAGAAATGGCTGCATTAAGATGTTGTCGTAAGTGCAAGGAAGTCCGGTTGTTCATTGCTCCAAAGGCCACAATGGCCAGGCATCCTTTGGAGAACGATTTGTTTCCCATTTAAAGTAAGAGTTCTCTTGAATTCTTGACATTGCAAAATTTCAGGTGTTAATGGGTGTTCAACAGAGTTAACTAATTAACTAACTAATCTACTGCGTGAGAATCAGAAAAACTGACTGCTTTTTCAATGTGATAACGGAAATTCTTCATATGGTATTTAATTTTGGTGATTTATCTGGACAAAGCAAATAGCCAGTCTTCTGAGGTGCTATTTTAAGTAATTAATAATGGTATTAGATATATTAATTTTCTAATTTTTATCACAGAAAATGTCGTGGAACGCATTGCTGTACGAGCTAATATAGAAAAATAATTGCATAACTATCTACATTTTAAAACTTTCAATTTTTTGTCTACCTGTTCCATTGAGCTTTAACTACCTTACAATATTAAAAAACTACCTTACAATATTAAAAAGTTCACATTTGTTCTAGGAGATCTTTAGACACGCTCAGCTTTTAAATGCTTCTTTATATTTCCTGCTCTATACTTTAGCCATCTGAATACCGTAAGCAAAATTGTTTGTATTTATAAGACGATATGGCAGCCTTTTTCTAATCAACAGTTTGTGTTTCGTGGTTTTTTGCCAAGATAAAGTATTTCTCAGATAGCTGAATTTCGAAGACGAATTTCATTGTTCCTTTGACGCCATTCTCAGTTTAGAAAACATTGATTTAAAACAAACTTGTATACTTATTAAATGGTCGTACATGCTGTTAGATAACATACCGTATAAAATGCTAAAAAGTTCAGACGCACTCTTATGTTTGCAGTTTCAGCAATGAATAACTGTGAAAAACTAACTAAACTCAAACGAGAATACATTCTATTTTATTGTTAATAATTATGATAAGTTCATGGTTCAAATGCACTCATGTGCAAAATTAAGAGAATTTAGAAAGTATCTCTAATTTTACGAAAAATATTAAAGTATTAAGGTACTAATTATGCCGTCGAAAAATTGTGTAAAGTCAAATGCGAAGTATTCAGAGTCGAATATATAAACATACATGAGCATGTGTGAACTTGTGATTGAGGAGGCGATATAAGCTCACGAGGGTTTCCAGCGATTAGCATGCCTGTACGCTTTCGACATTCACCGTGATTCTCTCAAGACTTGGGGAAATTTTATAACGTGTCACATTAAATGAGTAACCACGAACGTATCGATGACGGAATGAGATGGAGAATTATCGTTAGATTGGGTGCCGGCAAATACAGGCACAGGTGAATACAACTTCAGTGGAACTCCCAGTATCGTCTGCTATTTGTTGAAACAGTTTCAGAGCGCTAGTCCATATCGAAATGACCAGAAAATGGTCGATTAAGATGCGCAACGGCGAATAAGGACCTTATTTGTCACTTTTAGTCCGGCGACATATCGACTTCTTCACAGTTCTCATGTTCTTATATGCCACAACCGGAACCCGAATTTCACGGTCTACAGTTGACTGAAGGCTCCATGAGATGAGGCTGCATGCAGGGAGACTAGATGCTTGCTCAGTTGCAGCTATTTAGATTTAATATAAAAAATAATATTATTAAAATTATAAAAATATTAGTAAAAATATAATATTAGAAAGTATATGAATTAATAATTTATAAAAATAAATATAAATTAAATATAATAAAAAAATAGAATACAAAAAAATTTTTTAAAAATCTGAAAGGTTTTAGATTTTAAATTACATCCCAGGAGGCGTTTTTTAAACTTTTGTTGAACCACTCTTAGTAATCAAAAGAAAAAGGGGTAAATTTACGTGGCCTTTAAGCCATAAAATTCCATTCAACAGCAATATCGCAAAATAATACTCAAATGAGCACATCTTTAGAATTTCAGATACACATTTCTCGCACGCTGGAGATAAAAAGGTTTTATTCTCTTCATCCTGTACAGTGTTGCCATTGCTCGCTTTGAAGTCCATGAGTTTGTTAATCAAAAATTCGTTACACTTTTACAAAATATAAAATAGATAATAAAACAAATTCTAAATTCCAAATTTGAGATCTTCCAGATGCGCATATTCGGGTAGGAAACGTACGCTCATTCAAAACTGGATGGCTCTAGGTACCGTTGTTTTATCACAATGCAAGAACATACATACATTTATGCAGATTCTTCATTATTTAATTTCTTCAAATATAATACAGGCATAGTATTTGGGTGCAACAGTTTGAAAATGAAACGGACATTCAGAGTGATTCGACGCAAAATCGCAAAATGAAAACATAGTCCCTCGGACTAATAATTTTGAATAAACCTCTTAATTTTAATAACTGTGGTATTCTTGTTTTCAACGCAAAATTACAACATTTGCGTTACTTAATTAAAATCAATGAGAAAAAAATTATGCAAAAATTAATTAGGTAAAAAATTTAGTCCTATTCTTATCGCAAACCGTAACAAAATCGCAAATCGAAAACAGTAGTCCTTCAGGGACAAAGCCCCTTTGGACTACTAAAATTTTTATTGACATCATTAAGCTTATGTTTTAATATGCATTTATATCTAGTTTGTCATATATGGTAGCAGTTTCGAAAAAATTATTCAATATTTTCTTTTGACAATTTAATTTTATTCAATTCTTTTTCAAAGAGAAAAACTACTTGCAAATAAAAAGCACACAGAAGATGCTTTCCCTGTGTGCTTCAAATTTTCAAATTTCATTCTGTTTTCACCATTTTAGAATCGACCTTGTTTAATGTAAGAAAGATTTTTAGCATTTACAAGCTCATTATAAAATGTATCAGCACTGTCACAGAAATAATCGTTTTCTTAACGGATTGTTTCTTTAGAGTTAGTCTGTCACAACAGATTCAGAGATATTAGTAATACTGAATCTTTTTGGAAATCTTTTCATTTAAGGATAACTTGAGACTGTTTTCCTGTCATAATTGTCCTCATCTAGAAATTATCAAGAAGTTACACTTCTATTATAGTGAGGACAGTAGTAACGACTATATTAAGAACAAATGTGGAACGAATTTGGATTATCATATTGACATCGTCATATCAATCAAGAAAGTCACGCAAAAGACCAAGTAAACCTCACGTATTCCGTGTATGATTTACCACTCTTTCAAAATTAAACCACCTAAATCAGCTTAATGATTTTGGATAATTCTTCGGTTTACTTCTCCTCTTAGATGGATTTTAATAAAACAATTTAATTTGTTTTCCTTGATTTGAAGGTATTAGTTAATTTTAAAAAATAGTAATTCATATTAAATTTGTTAATAAGGCTATATATCACTATGAATTGACTATAAATAAGTTCTTTAAATTGCCTACGAGTCCGAATTTTTAATGTTGTACTTATAAATTGTGTAAGCTGTTTGAAATTGTTGGAAACTAATATTAGTTCTTAGTAACTTTTGTATTTATTTTTAGAATTTCTTACATATATAAAAAATTACAGAATCATCTATCATTGTCAAATAACTTCGTATTCGTTTATTTTGGATAAATTTTGACCGGACGTTTTCATTAGTTTCAATTATTGCAAAGTGTTAAGTCAAAAATGTCTTCCATGAAGTGGTGGTAATGATAAACAATAATTTCAGAGAAAAGCAATTATTGAATAATGATTTGTTTTGTTTCCATGATTGACGATGATGATTTTGCAACTATAAAATTCCAGAAAAGCAATGAAAAAATAAAATACGATATTCAATAAACCTGAATTTTTAATACTAAAACTATATTTTTACAAATGCTAGGAAGAATGAGCACAAATGTCAGTGGAAATACGTGAAGTGAAAATGTAAAAGCACAAATATTTTTGAAGTGTAGTTTTTGATTTCCCTCAATTTTACTTTTTTTTTTTTTTTTTTTTGGTAATCTATAGTTACACTACGCAATAAACCTAAACTGAAACCGAAGGAAAGTGAGGAAATTTGTGCATTTGATGATCATTGAAATAACTTCGATTTCTTTGAATAATTCATTTGAAGCACTTACGAATGCAGTAAATTAGCTTCAAAATGTTAAGTTTCATAAAAATGCGCTGCACGTGCCGTCGATTAAGAATCAAATTCTTAATTAACGCCAAACGTCCAACGCCAATCTTAAACATTCCTAGGAAGTCCCATAGCAACAATCCAAGGTCCTCTATTGTTAGCTCGGGGTCGGGAACTCCAAGTGATAAATTTCCGGGGCACGAGGTTCAGCTTAGTTTAAAGATGCTAGAAGAAATAACAGAGGTTGCTTAGAATAATAGATGATTAATTATAACAAGATGTTTTGTTATAAAATTTGTTGTTTGGAAATGTCTGCGTTTTAAAAAGCACCAGAAAGGAATGTTGTTTACCGAAGGACATCTCAAGTCTGCAAATGTTGTTATGTAACCCGAAAACTATTTTCTTGAAGTGATAAATTTATTATACCTGTGTCCAAGGATCTGACTTTTGCGCAGTAGTAAGAGTAAAACATATTTCAATTTAGTACATTGAAAAAATTTTAAGATAGTTTTCCCATTGGGTAAGAATGGTAGCGATTGCTCGAAATATTTCGAGTGGAATAATTCAGTACAGTAATTCATGATTTAGTCTGTGAGATCTAGAACGTTTTGCTATCATAAAATGTTTACTAGTACGTTATGCCATCATAATATGGTAACTAGATCTACTTCTGTTTTAAGCCTTACAAATTCTCGCACAAGCGTGAAGATGAACACAACAGAAAAATATAGAATAAGACCCTTTTATTTACCACAAACTAGTTAACAGATAACACAGACTTACCTGTTTATAACCGTCCACTTGCGGTGAGAACTTAGGCGATAATGTAACAATAAATTTAAAAGATAAAAATGTAGTGCTATATATAATTCAATTTAACCCTTTGACGCGCGCTATATTATTTTTAATTGTTTTTAAACTAAAAACTCTAGAAATCGAATATTATGAGCCTAGAGACAAATAATATACGGATTTAAAAAAATCTACCCCCGCCCATTAATCTGTGGGTGGTGGTTTCGCTGTGAAAGAAGCGCGCGTCTAGGACTTTGAAACTTACTGAGTTAGTAAGAAAGAACAACTTACTTTTTTCCGTACGCATTTCCAATGAATGACGAAATTTGCGAATAAAAAAAAAACTGCATTTAAAAATTGCATCAAATATAAATTTTTTACTTTATTTTACAAAGTATATCATCAGGGAAAAAAATTATAATTTATGTAATTTTTCTGCAGCAGTGAAAACATAAGAACGTACAGAATAAGGAAATTGGGATAAATAGATGGATGAAAGCCATAAATATATCCATGGGTTTTGCATCTTCCATAGAGGTAATTTCGTCAGTTAGGCCATAATCCTCAGAAAATTCGGGAATGGATTTCATTACATTCTGTATTTTATTCCATGTTACATCTGCAATTCTGGAAGGACCTGGTAAATTTATATCATCATTTTATGATTGATTATCACTTTCATCTTCAATTATATTTCCATAAGCAGGAGGGAAAGGGGGTAAAGGAGTATTTCCTTCTTCTTCACTTTCATCCTCAGAGACCACTGATTCTGTATCTGAAGGTAATTCTTCAAGTAACGCTAATGCATCAGCTATTTCTAACCCTTTGCGAGGCATTTTGAATCTCAACAGTAGAAAATAAAATATTGATAAAATATTTTAAATTTAATTAAATTTTTTGCTCGATTTCTATTTTTAATTATTCAAAAATATATTTGCAATTTTTTTGGAACCCACACAAAATAATTTAGAAATCACAGTACTAGCATAGAGAGCAAGCATGTTGAAAGCAGAGAAAAATCTCTGGAACGAAAAATATTTTATGGAGGCAAGTGCATGTATTGTTTGGTAATACAATAACTCTGTGATTTCAAAACCCCTTATCTATATCCGGGTGAAAATAAACACTTCTATTTCAAAGCAGCAAACATTACTATAAAGAGCACTGGTTTCAGGGCGCGACTACCGAGCCTCTAGGGGAATGTGAGCATTGTAACGCAACGCTCTAGTAGGGCCGTGGTGGCGGCCTGAAACCACAAAGGAAATACCATAAATATACACAGGTTGTTTATATATGCAGTTTATTGCTGTATTTTTATTGTTTATGATAGAAATAATGATGTGCGATAAAAAAATTTAAATTTTAAGTTATTAATATAAATAAAAGGAAGTTATTTTGTCTCACTGAAAATGAATTTTAAAAGGCATCCGATTTAAAATACTAAGACCTAAAAAATGTATAGTTCTGCAGTAATTTTGCGTTATTTAGAGGCAAAAGACAAGTAATCAGTCGGTTTTCACTCAAACAGTTTTTAAACAAGAGCGGAAAATATTTCGAAAATTGGTGGTTTCAGGGCGCGACCACCGCCCCTCAAAGGGTTAATCTAATAGGCTAACTCAGAAACCTACGCCGACAATAAACTATCCAGACGGCCAGAATACGTATTCGCCATAAAGATTAACAGCTAGTAGAAAGTAACAAACGTGCGCTCACATAAGCGAAATCACGCTCTGTCTAGCCTTTTCCTTCCAACAGTTT